TTTTTTTTTTTTTTTGGCTGTAATTTTTATGGAAGCAGATCTCCAGGCCTTTCTTCTGCAGCACTACTGGATGGGTTTGAACCATCAACCTTTCGATTAGCAGCTGATTGCAAATTGCTTGCACCACGTAGGGACCTTATTTTGAATTTTAAACTTGTACAAGAAATTTGGAACCTAACTTGGAATAAACTGAGATGCTGTTAAAACCCTCACACTTCTTAATGCCTTGCCCACGATAAAGATTCAAGTATTTATGGACTGAACTAGAGACAGAAAGATGGCTGTATGCTGTTTCTGTTGAGGACTGCTGAGGTGCCATTGCTCTAACCATCCCTTGGTTCCTTCTAGAGCAACAGTAAGCATAATGATGACAGTAGCAGCGGCAGCAAATACTTGACGTGCTTAGTCCTTAGTCCTCAGAATGACCCAAATAAATAGGTACTGTTATTATTTCAGTCTTACAGGTAACGAAACTGAGGCACAGAGTGATTAAATAGCCCAAGGCCCCAGAGGTCACAAGGTGCAGAGGCAGAGGACTGCCCTTACTCATTGTACCATCTTGCCCTTGGCCCTCTGTGGGCTAATTGTCTCCTAGTCTGTCTCCTCATTAGGTAGTAAGCTCCTTGAGGACCCAACCAAACCTAAATCAGTTGCCTCAAGTCAATTCCAACTCGTAGCAACCCAATAGGACAGAGACCCATTGGATTTCCCAGGCTATTACTGAAGCAGGCTGTCTTCTGCAGAAGAGCTGATGGGTTCTATCTAACTGCTGACCTTTTGGTTAGTGGCAAAGTGCTTTAACCACTGTGACACCAGGGCTCCTTTTCTGGAGGGTAGATTGTGAATTATCCACATTTATATCCTAAAACCTGGCTTCTAATGTCTGCATGTTTAGCACAAAAACTATCCTCTAGGAGAATTCATAATGAGAAATAAGGGATCACAGGGCATCCTTTGATCAGTGTGTCAAAGGCTATTTCTTACAGCTGGGGGGGAAAAAAAAAAACCTCACTGCCATTCAGTTGGGCCCGACTCATAGTGACCCCTCCTTGGGTTTCCGAGGCAGTATCACTACAGAAGTAGATTGCCCAACCTTCCTTCCAAGGAGTGGCTGGTGGGTTTGAACCGCTAGCCTTCTGGTTAGCAGTCAAATGCCTCAGGCACTATGCCACCAGAGTGCCTATTACAGCTGAGTATCCCCAAAAGTCTCTTAGAATGTGCCTATCAAAGTCCAAGCCCTTCTGAACTCTTTATTTTTTGTTTGTTCATCTTCTCAGTGGTTGAAATAAACCTAAAGCCAGAATTCTGAAGAATTGTGGGTAGTACACCATGAGACTCAATCCTATTAAATACTGTTTTGTGAGCTCAGTATTTGTGACCCTCTTTGATGTGGTAAACACTGTAGACAGCTTAAGGAGCTCTGGTGGCACAGGGCCTAAGGCATTTGACTGCTAACCAGAAGGCTGGCAGTTCAAACCCACCAGTCACTCCACCGAAGGCAGATAGAGTGATCTACTTCTGTAGGAAATCCAGTGGGGGTCGCTATGAGTCAGAATCGACTTGATGGCAGCAAGTTTGGTTTTTTTGGTTAGAAAGTTTCATATCAAGTAACAAATACAGTTAACATATGGTGACTGTGGACACTTCTATAAAAAATTGAGTACCAGGCTCTTGGGGACGTAATCTTCTATGACAGCAGGAGCTTCTCTTTGGGAAAATCAGATTTCACAGATGCTGCCTTTCCTAGAAGGAGCTCTGGTAGTGTAGTGCCTAAGGCACTTGACTGCTAACCAGAAGGCTGGCGGTTCAAACCCACCGGCCACTCCTCAGAAGGAAGATGGGGCAATCTACTTCTGTAGTGATACTGCCTTGGAAACCCAAGGAGGGGTCGCTGTGAGTTGGATCTGACTCGACGGCAGTGAGTTTGGTTTGGTTTTGGCTTTTCCTAGAAGGAGCTCTAGTAGCACAGTGGTTAAAGAATTCAGCTGCTAACCAAAAGTCAGTGGTTTGAATCCACCAGCCACTCTGTGGGAGAAAGATGAGGCAGTCTGCTTCCATAAAGATGTACAGCCTTAGAAACCCTATGGGGCAGTTCTACTCTGTCCTATAGGGTCTCTATGAGTGAGAATCAACTTGATGCCAGTGGGTTTGGTTTGGTTTGGGCCTTTCCTAGGAATGTAAGCATGAAAACTGGTTCTCTTATTTCTCAGTTATTTACCTTTTTTACATACATTTAAAATGTCAATTATACAAAAACTAAAATGTAACCAATGAAAAATCCCATCATGTTAAGTATTATTTAAAGTTAAAAAGCAAAAATATATTATGATCTACATTGATTAGTAAAAGTATTCTCTTCTAATTATTTAATTAATTATGCTTGATTTATTAGGCAATAACAAGTTATTTGATTTTCTGCTTTCTATATAGCAAAATGATAGAGGAAAAAAAATTTAATCTAATGAAAACCTAAGTTAAATTGTACCTGAAGAACATACCCATTTTGGAATTTAGAAATAACCATAATAGGCCCAAAGGATTCCTCTTTGGCAAGGTACATGTGGTCTTCCACGTCTGTGAACACAGTTGGTTCCATAAAAAAGCCTATTGAATGAAAAGAAGAAAAGAACTTTAATTACAGGGCATTTTTCAATTAATAGTACTCTTGTCTAATTACATTATAATTATTTTTCTTCCCTTCTGGGTCAGGAAAACTCATTTCTTTATTTGGCATTAGCATTCCTAGGTTATTTTTCAATGTTTTTATTATAAAAATTTCAAATCTAGGTAAAAGTAGAGAAAACAATGTTATAGTGAAATGAATGTTTATATTTTGCTATGTATGATTCACTTTTTTCCTTTCTGGAATGTATTAAACTACAACTCCCAAGTATTTCTGTACAAATCTATAAAAATAGAGACAATTTCTCAAATAACCACGATACATTATCATACCTAACAAAATCAGTGCTAATCTTTTATTCATAGTGTGTATTTCAGTTTCCCTGATTGTCTCAAAAATATCTTTTTTATACTTAATTTGTTTGAATCACAATTCAAGTAAGTTGTACACATTGTAGTGGGTTGTACTGGGAGGGTGGCTTGTCTTTGAGGTTCCCATCCCAGATGCCTAAACTGAGGCTTTGGGCTCAGGGTATTTATTCTCTGATAGGCTGGGAACTGGGTCTCTCTCTGCCAGTCCCTTCTCCTTGTCAGAGAAGCCTTCCTCCTTATTCTGAATCCGCAGTAACTTTCTCTGTCTCTATGACCACCTATGACTACTTAATTGCACTAAAGTAATTAATTTTGTAGCCTAGTTGGGGTAGGAGCCCTGCTGGTGGAATGGTTAAGCATTTGGCTTCTAATTGAAAGGTCAGCGGTTTAAACCCACCAGGAGTTCCGTGGGAGAAAAAAGACTGGCGATCTGCCCTGTAAAGATTACAGCTCAGGAAACCCTATGGGACAGTTTTACCCTGTTCAATAGGGTCACTGGGAGTCAGATCTATTCAACGGCATCCAACCGTAACAGCTAGTGGGGGGAGAAATGTTCTTTCTGGTCATGATCCATGGTCACAGGGCTGCCATGCTGTTTGACCGTAAACAGAGCTTGGCAACAGGATGGTCAGGGCAGGCGCAGCTGAACAAAGCCCCCTTCCTCTTCCTCTTTTGCCCAGTTCCTTAGACCCCTTTGCCTCTGGGACTTTTCACCTTCAAAATAAACTTGGAAACTTACATGTGCAGAAGAGATTTTCTATCAGCTCACCCTGGGATGGGGTCTAGGGAGGCCAACTCCTCAATTCATTTGTATCCTAACTGCTAGGAAAAACAAAAACAAAAACAAACCCACTGCCATTGAGTTGTTTCCAACTGATAGCGATCCCCCTTGGGTTTCTAAGGCAGTAAATCTTTACAGAAGTAGATTGCTTCATCTTCCTTTGGCAGAGTGACTAGTGAGTTTGAATCACCAACCTTCTGGTTAGCAGCCAAATGCCTTAAGCACTGTACCACCAGAATTTCTTGAACTGCTATGTAAGTACTGTAAATTAAAGCCTGTGATCTTGCCATTGGGTAATGTCAATTAATATCTGACAGTTACAACCCTCTACTTTTCACTGTGGTTCATCAGGTTCCTTAGCTCTCATCTTTTAATCCAGAAACTTTTCCCCTCTCCCCTTATTTTTTCATGCCATTGTTTTGTAAAAGAGATCAAATTCATTGTCCTGTATAATATCTTACATTTTAGATTGTTCATTGCTCCTCGGGATATTATTTAATTTGTTCCCTTAAACCAAAAAAATCTCACTGCTGTTGAGTCGATTACAACTCAGAGAGACCCCTCCTTGGGTTTCCGAGGCAGTGTCTCTACATAAGTAGATTGCCCGACCTTCCTTCTGAGGTGTGGCTGGTGGGTTTGAATCTTCAGCCTTCTGGTTAGCAGTCAAATGCCTTAGGCACTATGCTACCAGAGCTCCCATCCCCTCATAATTCTTGTAAATGGAAAGTCTCACCTAAAGGCATGGTTAGATTCAAGTTAAACATTTTTGGCAAGCATACTTTATTGGTGATGCTCTGTAAACACATTGCATCCATCAGGAAACACATAATATTCAGTTGTCCCTCTGTTCTGGTTACCTAGTGCCACTCTGACAGGAATATACCACAAATAGGATGGCCTTAGCAAACAGGAGTTTATTCCCTCACAGTTTGGAGGCTTTAAGTCCAAGTTCAAAGTGCCAGGCTCTAGGGGTTAGATGAAAGCCCCTCAGCCGTGGGGTCCAGCTCTGCCTCCTGCTCCCGGCCCACTGGAACTAGAGGCATATCTTCACTCAGCTGCTGGCTGCTGAGGCTGACAAGCCCATGGTTGACAAGTAAAAAGGCACAGTCCCAATGTTACCAAACCACACGGCAGGTCATTAATTTAAGTCCATTGTAAGTCCCAAGGTCAGCAGAGCATGGCAAGCTGCTGAACAACGACATGGCTACATGCAGGGTCCAAAAGTGCCATAAGCTAGAGACCATTTCCAAAGCTGCTGCTTATACACGGGAAGCAGACCACATACCCAAAGGTAGCTACTCAGGTGCTCACAGTAGATTCCACCATGGAGTTGATCACTAGTCTCATCATGGGGAATACTACATCCAGCTGCCCAGCCACTTAACCAGGCCCAGCCAAGTTGACACAAAAACATAACCACCACACCCTCCTTCAGTGATGCTAAGATTGACCTATGGTTTCAGGTGGTGGGAGCCTGCCTCCTCCATTGTAGAGCTAGGTTTTTCCCTTATGAATGGCAAGCAGTCTCAGGGGTGATACTGTGATACCTTGCAAATACCCACGTTCCTATCAACCTTTCACCTAGTAACTTTAATTTATTGATGATCATTGCCAAATCAATAACATCATTAAATGATGGGTACAAAATGGTGCTCTTCCTAATTCTATCATTCTACCTTGATGCACAGGAATTTTTTCTGTGGAGTCTCCTTAATCAGCTATGTAGTTAACTTGAAATTCAGTTCTTATAGGAAATCTAGGATAAATGTTAATTTTTTTTTCCTTCTAGTTAACAATCTTTGGAGTAAGGTGTTAGTGCACAAACCACGTGCAATAGTGGAAAGAGTTTTTGTAGTTGTCTTTCTCTCCTTTTGAGTCTCACACCATTGAGCCATTCCCATATTGCAGTAACAGGTCCTCTGTAGACAACAGGAATCAGCTGTGTTTGCTAAGATAGTCTCCCAGGGCCAAGAATCAATATCTCCAGTGTTTAAGTAACGTCGTTCTCAAGCACACTTGATTCTTCTACAGCTAAGGACCCATCGTGTCCATTGGGTTATTTGGTTCTCACCCATCTGTAAAGCAGAATGTGCATATTTCATCCCATTTTATGGAGAAGGGAACTGAGGCTCAGAAAAACTGTTATCCAAGGTGCCATAGCTTGTAAGTAGTCAAGCAGGATCTAGAAATTAATTCTTCTGACCATAATATAAATTCTTCTATTTGCTTTTTGAAGTAAGATGGTGCTGCAATGAACATTGTTATCATCCATTCCAACTTAAGAAGACAAGCGCCCCGTAAACCTCCCATGGAGCTGATCTTACCTGGCCTTTGGACTTGTCTTCCCCCATATACCAAGGTGGCGCCCTCTTTCACTCCAGCTTCACAGTACTGCAGAAGCTTTTCCAGATGGGCCTTATGATTTTGGGGTCCATGATCAGTAGATCTGTCAAGTGGGTCACCAATTTTCATCTTTTTAATTTCTTCTACCTGTATGTCACCCAGTTCACAAAACACAATTCACTGTTAATAATAATAATGGGTACCCTTGACTGAGTTTCTACCAGGTAGTGGATGTTGCACTAAGCCATTTATAAATGTGTTGTTTAGCTTCAACAAGGAAGTTGTTGTTATGTGCTGTCAAGTTGGACTCGACTCATAGCGACCCCTCTTCGGGTTTCTGAGGCAGTATCACTATGGAAGTAGATTGCCCCATCTTTCTTCCTACGAGTGTGCTACATGAAAATCTCCCTCAATGTTAATCCATTATAACAGCAAGCTGATGTTCTAGAAGTTTTCTAATCTTCTTCATGGCAAAATAATTTCTAAAATGACCATGTTGTTTAATAATCTTTTTTTCCCTCTCCAAATGTGGCCAACTGTTCTTGTGGAATTCTTATGGTACAGTCATGCCAGAGGAATTGCCAGAATCTTCAGATGAGAACCAATCTTTACCATACAATGTTCATCACTGACATGTCTTTGTAGTCACTTCTTGTGGTCCTCAGCTGTCTTAATTTATTTCTGCTTTTCTAATGTTAAGTCCTATTCTAACAGAAGAAAAGAATGGGAGTTACTGTTGCCTAGCAGGGCCATGAATTAGGGCTGGCAGTAATGCCTTGGTACCGTGCACAGGGCCCTGTGCTGGACTAGAAGCTCTGTGTGGGCAGGAACTCTGCCTTGTTTCCCTTTGTATTCCTAGCACCTAGCACAGTGCTCTTGGTACTTGGTAGGTACTCAAGAAACAGCCATTGAATCAGTGAGTGACTACAAATAGTGTGTGTGCTATATATGTACATTGATGGACCAGATATATCAAGTCCTTGACATTTCTGGTCTCAGCATTAAAAATGCCAACTATGTGTGGGTGACCCTGAAGCCCATGACATGTGTACTGTCAGTTGTAATTCTGCTGAGGCACAAATGCGAATGATGTTGTGATGTTCAGGAGGGAGCCACTGCCCACCTGGCTGCCCCCAGCTGCCTCTCTGTATGGCTTCCTTGATCTCCCCTCTCATGAAGGAAGGACACCTTCGTTTGTTTAGGGGTGCAGGGGATGAATAATTGACTGAAAAAAAGGCTATGTTGTAGTTTTGTGAATCTAAGCAAATTCATGATTAACATTATCATCCAATGACAAAATGTAGTGTAGTTTAGAATTGACTTTGGTCACAGAATTCATCTTAATTGTCCTATAAGTGGCTCATATTTATGGAATCCTGATCCATCTACAGGGACTATTTATTTGCTTGTTTTATTTCTTTAGTAGGGGAATTATATGCTGCCCTGCTAACTGTGAATTGAGGATTTGTAAGTATTTAGCAGCACATCTCTTATAATCATTTTAGGGATTTTTAAAATTTAAGAATATATTTCCCACAAACATCAAAGATCTCATATGATGTAAATGCACAACAGGATATAGGTTATAACAACTCTTAAATAGACTTTAATCAAGTTTTTATTTAGATCCCTAACTTTTTATTACAAAAATTTATAAAATTTATAAAAATATACATATAATGAACCCTCCCTGTACCTTTTACTCAGCTTCAATAATTACCAAGTCACTGCCTCCCCTCCTGTGTTATTTTGAAGCGAATTCCAGACATATAATTTAATCTGTAAATACGTCAGTATGCAGCTATAAAATGTAAGGACTTGTTGTTTTAACACTAATCATAATGTGATGAACCAGATAGCTTATCTGACTCCATCTTGACACACTGATGCCCCCATAAAGTTTTTTTTTTTTTTCTTAAGCTACAGGTCTAGACCACCCCATCCTGTTTCAACTGAAGGCCTAGTCTCCCCATCCATTCTGGCAGAACATGGAGACCTAGTTAAGCCCCTGTGCCAACCACAGAGACAGACCACAGTGCTAAGTGTTGCCTATAGGTGTGACTTGCTAGAGCAAGTATGCTTTTTCAGCTTCTATAAAAGTCAGCTTGCAAAGGCTGTGTCCTAGTTGAAGCTCCCAGAGTGGATGAGGCCTAACCACAATGCCAAGGAGTTTCTTTACAGGTGTTATTTACTAAATTAAGTTTAACATTGCTTTCTGCTTCTGTAAAAGACTGCTTGCAAAGGATAGAAAAGAGACACTCAATATTACACCCACCTGCTTGTGGGTTTTATCTTTATAAACCCTGTGAAGCTGCTCTTCTGGGTCGAGAGTCCTTTTTGGCATGAGCCACCTCTCGACCCTGGAAATAAAGGACTTAAAGCTTGGTTAGGTTTCAGAGTGCTTGGCAACTCTGTATAGTCCATCTTGCGTTTAATATATAACAATAATACTCTTATCATGCTTAAAAATACAGTACTAGTCCAGGAAGTACTTTTCAGGTAAAAACAATTTCTGTACAATTCACTGAGCTGTTCAGATGCCTTACCACTCTCGTCACAAATTCATCATGGATGGATTCTTCCACAAATAAGCGCCCGGCTGCAATACAGTTCTCTCCTTTATTGAAAAATACTGCTCCCATACCCTTTGGAAGCAGAAGAGAAAATACTGTTTACATAATTTGGGAAGGTCAAGATTGTCCTCAAATTGCAGTTTGAAAGATAGCAGACAACACAGAGAAGTTGTAGAAAACACAATCCCCTTGGCCTAGTTAGTGATGAGAACTACTTAGCGATATTTAGTTTTGATCTAGCATGTTTTTAAGGGATTTTGTTTCTCCTTTCTCCCTTTTGGTTCATTAGCACTTAAAAAAAATGTGTGTAATGATAAGGACTCACCATTAAGGACTAATTTGTGTAGCTAAAACCTAAATCCTTCCATAAATGTAAATGTAATGCGGCAGTATCAAATTTTGCTTTTAAAATTTCTAAATCACTTTGTATAAATCACCATTGTTTGGAAAGCTTCCATACCACACACAAAAAAAGGGGAAAATTTATTTTTCAGGGAGATTTGAAAAAATCTTTGAAATGAAGGCTCTCATAGATGACAGATTTGAAAGAACAATAAAGTCTGGTGCATCTTCCCTTCCAAATCTAGTTTCTAATTCACCTCCTGGGAACCTCTCTGGACAGGGTAAAAAATATAACAGACTTTGCAAGATAACACCTGTTTCCCCTGTATATACATTTTACTATCTTTAATCATCTCAAAAGTATGTTAATTACCTTGCACCGTGGGTCCCTCGATGGTAGAAAGGACTCCCTAGATGGCACAGTGATTAAATGCTCAACTACTAGCCAAAAGGTTGGCGGTTTGAACCCACGCACAAGTACCTCAAAGCATAGGCCTGGTGATCTATCTGCTTCTGAAAGGTCAAAGCCTTGGAAACCCTACAGAGCAATTTTACTCTGCACTCATGGGGACACCACAAGTAAGAATGGACTCAGGGACAGCCAACAATGACAGAGTTAGGATTCTTCAAATTTACATGTTTCTATCTTGTGATGCTCTGGTAACGTAGTGCCTAAGGCACTTGACTGCTAACCAGAAGGCCGGCAGTTCAAACCCACCAGCCACTCCTCAGAAGGAAGGTTGGGCAATCTACTTCCGTAGTGATACTGCCTTGGAAACCCAAGGAGGGGTTGCTATGAGTCGAGACCGACTCGATGGCACATAATGACAACAACAACATCCTGTGGTGCTTAATATAAAGCTTCTCTTTCAAGAATCTGATGGTGGCTAATCTCAAACTCACTATTTACTAAATATTCAAATTTAGGAAAGGAAAAGAGTGGCCCTCTATAACCACCACACTAGGATTTTCTCCTTGTTTTCAATTATTTCAGTTAACCACGTTTATCCATTCCTTTTTATTGATGTACAACCATGAGTACAAGATGTCTAGTAAAGACTAACATTCAGCCTGATGCTGCTAAAAATGTAATGGATTATGGAAGGAACTGTGATGGTCGGTGCCTAAGGCATTTGATTGTTAACCAGAAGGCTGGCAGTTCAAACCCACCAGCCACTTTCTGGAAGGAAGATGAGGTGATCTACTTCCATAAAGATTTACTGCGTGTAAACACAATTGGGGTCTCCATGAGTCGGAATTGACTTGATGGCAGTGGGTTTTGTTTTTGGTTATGACTTAACACTACATTTTAAAAACACTTCAATGAAACAAATGATAAACACTTTATTTTAAAAATTAAGTGCTCTGAATACTCCCAAATCTAAACATAAAGAAGATTTTTGTTTATGACTAGACAAAACCAAATCTTCTTTCAAGATATTGGATAAAGAGGTACGATGGATTTTGGAAGTAAGCTCCTATTGACTTGCACATGACCCACTCTTACCATTCTCACTGCCTTGTCAAGTTCACAGTCATTGAAAATTATAAGTGGTGATTTGCCACCAAGCTCAAGAGAAACTTTCTTCAAGTTGCTCACAGCACAGCTGGAAACAAACAAAAAAAAAACAACCAGCAAAAAGTCAACATTAGTCTCTCTCTATCTTGCTCATTGACTTGTTTTGTAACTATAGATTATCACTAGGTATGAATACATGCCATATCTAAAAGGAATAACACTTAAGTAAAAATTGCAATAAATGCTGTAATAACAATAGTTACTAGTTACCATGTTGAAGGGACTGTTTTAAACTTAACTAGAGATTGATTCAATCAGTTCAAAGTGGAAGGCAAATTTACATAACATTAGGGCAAGTACGTATTGTCCCTAAATTGGATGTTGGTAACCCAGGGACTGCCTGTAATGAGATTGAACCTCAGAAATACTAAGAAACATTTTCAAAGTTAAAACACAAATGGTAGAATGGTGCTAATTGTTGAACCTGGCTGCTGAGCACGTGAGAGTTGGTTATGTCACACTGTATGCTTAGTATATGTTAGAATTTTCTATAATAAAGAGTTTTTGAAAATTTTGTAGTCAAATAATTGGAGATTCTCATGGGAAAATGCAGTTTATTTAAACAGGAATTTTGGTAACAAATGCTTGGCAGGGGAATTCCACCTCTAATTAGATTACTGGAGCACTGGGAATCAATCAGCAATTTATACAAGTGTGTTGGCTATTTTCCCCTTCTTATAAAAGTATTCTTGTTTAAAACATTAGGAAAATGGCCAAAAAAAAAAAAAAAAAAATGCAGAAAGAAGAAAAAACTCACAAAATTCCATTCCTTGGCTCATTGATCACTGTTTTTTACCATTTTGTTATACTTACTTCAGGCCTGGGGGCTGACATAGCTTTGCTTTGTTAAACATAGTTGGGCTCACCCACTATAAATAATTTCCCATTTTATGGTTCTTTCCAGTGACCCATTTTAACAAGATTCTGTTATTCATCATGCTCCATGACACAGTAACTGCACAGTATTCCATTCCATTGACATGCTTTAACCACTGTGATTTTTCTTTAAGAGTTTATTTTATAAAGAATCTAGATTTGCCATTTATACATCTTTTTGATTTCTTAGCTATGCTTCAAAAATAATTTGGGCTGCAATTTTAGCACCAAAAAAAATTGTGTGTGTGTGTGTGTGTGTGCGCGTGCACTGGAATGTTCAAGCTAGCAGTGGAGTGCGGAATTTTCATATAGTTTTAGTTTTACTGTCTATGGGCTTTAACATTTTGGGAAGTATTTTATTATATTTAAATACCCAGCAGTGATAAATGGATTTTTCTTCTAAATTTGATGTGGTTTGGCCCCCTCCAAAATCTATCTATTTAAAAAAAAAAGAAGAAGAAAAGTTTAACAGACTCTGCAGCAAATTGATACGCTAAAATCAATACCTCTTCATTATCTGTTTGCCAATAAGAGTGGAACCGGTGAAGCCAAGTTTGCGGACATCTGGATGTTCAGAAAGCCGTTGTCCTACTATGCCACCTGTTGAAGTAGGGAATGGAACATAAATGAAAACACAACACAAGTTCTACTTACGGTGATTGTTGTTGTTATGTGCCATTGAGTCGAACCCGACTCGTAGTGACCCCTCCTTGGGTTTTTGAGGCAGTATCACTACAGAAATAGATTGCCCCATCTTTCTTCCGAGGAGTGGCTGGAGGGTTTGAACTGCCAGCCTTCTGCTTAGCAGTCAAGTGCCTTAGGCACTATGCTACCAGAGCTGAAGTACATGTCTAAGCTCTCATTAAAACCTTAAGTTTTATATTTCTGTATTAATTACAAACTGACACACACACAAAAAAATCCAACATGACATCCTCTGTGCAATTGTCAGCCAAGGCTTGGCTTTTGTCTTTCAAAATATTATTTGGAAGCTGAAAATGAGCCACTTTAGGGTAGTTTTACAACGTACCATCTGTGCCAGCCTCTAATCTATTTCCACTTTTAGATTAGCACATCGTAAGTATATTTATCATTAAATCAACTGTTTGGTAAACTGTATTTAGTTTTGATATAGTTATAATTCAAGACAAGACTGCAGTGGGAAAACAGCCACTCAGTAATTCCCATCCCTTTCACTGGTTATAGCACGTGGGTTATTTGATGGTTTACCTGAGCCAGGAATTATGTTGATTACCCCTTTCGGGAAGCCAGCTTTAACAGAGAGCTCTGCAAACTTCAAAGCGGTCAAGGGCGTTACCTGAACAGAAACAGACAGCAATGATCTTCTTCAAAATCTGCCAGTCCTTTTAATACAGTACTCAGTTTTAACTATATAGCTGTGTTAGAATGTATTTTATTTCAACTTGTTTTATTATTTTTAGAATTTTAATTTCAGATTGACAGCAAACTTTCATAAATAGTACAAAACATTCTTATATACCCTACCTTCAAATTCCTCAAATGTTAACATTTTACTACATTTGCTTTATTCTTTCTGTATACATGCTTTTATATATTATTCTAAATACTGCAGGGTGCCATTTCCTCAAAACAAGTAATTCTCTTATACAACCACAGTACAATGATGGAAATCAGGAAAATTAATAACTGATAGTATGATCTAATTTACAGACCTTATTCAGATTTCACTAATCATCCCAGTAAAAGAAAATCCAAGCATTTAGTTATCATGTGTCTTTGTCGCTGTTTTTAGATACCATCAAGTTGGCTCTGACTTACAGCGACCCTGCGTGCAACAGAAGGAAACTGCCTGGTCCCGCACCATCCTCACAGTCATTGCTATGTTTGAGCCCATTGTTGCAGCCACTGTGTCAGTCCATTCTCTTTGAGGGTCTTCCTCTTGTTTGCTGACCTTCTGCTTTACCAGAGAATGGTCCCTTCTGACAACACGACCAAACTAGGTGAGACG